ACAAGCTGAACTGAGCGAAATACAGATTCGAACGTGTGTATACTGTCTTACATGAATGCCTGTGTTCATCAACAGGATGAGTCATGACTGCGGATCATCTAAATATACAGTATACGCTGGCAAGTTTGTCCGGAACCGTCGATCTGTGCAACAGACGGCTAAACAGGCCACAGAGGAATAACGAGTATTGCATTGAGGAGTTTTGATAGATTGATTGTTTTCACATGCGAAACTGAGGTTGGGCTTGAAATGGAAGGTCATCGACAAGTGACCGGCGCCATTGCTGATGTACAGATGTGAAACGTGAACTGTAAGGGTAAAAAAATGTTCACAGGCTAAGACTCCGTAGTACAACGCAGCATCTAACGCTGTATATGTAAAATAAAAAGAAGGAATAAGAAGACCAACGAAATGACACCGGTCAAACAAGGATCTGCGATGTGACTGCCAACAAAGAAGCTTAAATGAAATCTCTGACATTATGTCTCAGAAGGTGTGTTTATTGTGATCATTACATTAAGCTGTTTGCAGAAGAAGAACGTCTCTGGTGTGCGACGGTCGTTGTCTTCACAGTTTCAGGAAGAGCAAGTTGCTGATCGATCAAAACGATATCAGACTGGGCTCCAAGACACAGCAAACTGGCTGCGGTCTGACTTCGAAATCGAGGACAAACGAAGTCAGAAGTTTATTGGACTTGCATGGATAAGTGTTGCAAAAGACATAATGCTGGCGCCAAGTCTTTGAGAGGCCATCATTCAGCGATGGACAAAACAGAGCTGATGTTTGTAATATCTGAAAGATCTTGTCACTGTAGTTTCAGGTTGGGCAAAGGCTGGACTACAACGTTGTACAAGTCCTGATTCACGACGCATAAGTCGTATGCCACTGTGCTGTTAACAAAGTTCCATGAGACTTGAGATTGATTATACGGAAAGCTTAATCCTGATTGGTGCCTTCTAACTTTGCTGGATTTAAATTTCGTGAATATGCATGTACGATGTACTTCTGCACGTTTATTTATGAATTAGTGTTATGCATCGACTTGAGACTGAACAAAACATTTATTAAAATTTTATCGAGGTTAGCAGCAACTGCTTTCACTGAAATAAGCTATCAGACG